AGCCATTGCTACTAGGTTGGATGCCGTCGCTATTAGGTTGAAGGCCATTGCTTTTATGTTGTTCGGCCAAAGCGAGTAGGTTTGAGGCCATCGGTGACCGAATCTTGGAGAAGTTCACGCACACCCTGCGAGTTCTAAAGCGGTAGTTTCATTTATCCAACCGACCCATCGACAGGTTTTGCAGTGTCTTGCATGTGATTTATACTTTTCTTGGATGCAAGAGCCGTGTAATGTCGTGCACAAGGAACACAAAGCATGACCACCCCCGTTGGTGGCCAGAGAGAGTGGGTTAGGCAAACTGAAGAGCACTGCTCACAGCACTAAGGATCCCAGTGATGGGCATCTCCAAATGCTTCATGTGCGATGACATTCCAAATTGGCATGACTCTATGTCCCGCACTTGCACTGACTATGCTGTCCAGGGCTTGTGCAATGGTTCATGGCCCAATGCAAGCCTTGACCTGCCTTATCACGGCCTCAAACCCAGTGAGGCCTGCTGCATTTGTGGCGGTGGGAATGTGCAAGCTGTTCCCACTCAGATGCCTTTGGCCGACGAGTCCTTGTATGTGGGCCAGCGGATAGAGGCCTTTCCGGAGCCTGTGGCAGAGGCAGTGGCAGTTGACCCCGAGTGCAACCTGGCCGAGTTGGGTTTGGAGCTCTCAGTGACTGGCGTGATCCGTGGGAATTTGACTGCAACGAACAAGACCACCCAGCTCAAGTGCTCCATGATGCTCACACAAGACCCGATTCGCGGAATCTTCAGCAGCATCAGCTTGGACGTGCCCTTGTCCAGCTTCACCTACGGTGAGCAAGCACTTCTCTTCAAGTTATGGGGACAGGATGCAGAAGCAGCTCAGTCTTCCCTGCCTCTTCAAAAAAAATCATCACTCCAACTTGAGAACTATCAGCTGGCCTGTGTTCCGGAGTGCCCATGGCTTGGACTAGAAGCTTGGATGAAGAAGCGGACTAGTCGGAGGCCATCGCTATTAGCTTGGAGGCCATTGCTACTAGCTTGGACTAGAAGCTCCTGGCGGGATGGCCTTGGTTTTCATGTGGACTTTTGGACACCTTTCGCTTTTGACAACATGGCCATCGATTCTCATCCTTTCTTGTTTGTTTTGCTTCTTCTTTCTTCGTTATGCTCCTTTCTTGTTTGTTCTGTTTCATTATCATCATCATCATCATCTTCTTCTTCTTCTTCTTCTTTGGCTTTCTTCGTCAAAAAGGCTTCAAGATTTGTGTGATGGAGGCCATGGCCCATTGCTATTGGGCTGGAGGCCATCGCTATTCGGTTGGAGGCCATTGCTATATTAAGGTGGATGCCATTGCTGTTAGGTTGGAGGCCATTGAGGCCATCGCTATTGGATTGGAGGCCATCGCTATTAGGTTGGAGGCCGCTGCTATTAGCTTTGACGCCATTGCTATTAGGTTTGAGGCCATTGGCTATTGGCTTGGAGGCCATCGAGATTAGGTTGGAGGCCATCGCTATTAAGTTGGAGGCCATTGCTATTTGGTTGGAAGCTATTGCTACTAGGTTGGAGGCCATTGGTAGTAGGTTGGAGGCCATTGCTATTAGCTTGGAGGCCATCGCTATTAGGTTGGAGGCCTTTGCTATTAGGTTGGAGGCCACTGCTATTAGGTTGGAGGCCATTGCCACTTTATCACGAAAGCTAGCTGTAGCTAGCTGGAGTCTGTCTTGCTTTAGCAAGGAGGGTGGGAGCCCAGGACTTGAGTGCTATTACCTGATATATCAGGACTAGACCCCCCCCCTCGCGGGGTTCAACTCCACCCTTCTCCTCCTCGGTACCTGCTGCTGCTGCTGGCATCTCATCTGCGCCTGGCTCTTGGCTGCTTGCTGGTTGCTGCTGCTTGCTGCTTGCATGGCTGCCTGCTGCTTGTTGTCTGCTCCGTTTTGCTGCTGTTGCTGTTTGGGGTTGTTGGCTGCTGTTGGTGCTGAAGAAAGCCTATTCGTTAGAATCGAGAGTAGTTGCATTCCCTCTGAGTCGTGAAACGATGCTAATTTCATTATATCCTTAAGAAGCTTGTACAGGCATGTACCCACCCCACAACCTAATAGCCTAAGAGTACAAATCAGAATGCACTATCCGCTATCCATGCAGATCAAAAGATGATACTTACTTCACACATGAATGACAGAACCCAGTAAGATGTTTGAACGGGCTTTTTGCTTCACTCATGGTAGTCCGCGTTCCATGTTCGAGTGACAGGGAGCATGCACAAGCGTTGTCTTCGGTCGCTGGCACATGTTCGCATACAACCCCTAGATGTCAATCATGCACACCGCTGCTGGCTGCATCGTCCGCATTTATTCGTGAAAAAAGATATATCAGATATATCTGTCTTTCCACGTCGCCCTTCTACAATTACTCAGGCAGCGCCTATATGTGCTATTTACAGCCTTCGGCATGCCGCCGGCCACCAGCTCGAGCCCGCATTGGCAGGCAGCTTAATGATACAATACCCTGCTCAATCATACTTGTTGGTGCATTGGAGGTGCACATTTGGCTGGGTGAGTTTGTTGATGTTTATCTCAAGCTTGTTTGACCATGAAATGGAACAAATCCGAATCAGAGGTTGTCTATTCTGATCCAGCGATCCGAACCGGCATGTCTCAGTCGAATCACCTAAGAGGAACCAAGTGAAACCAACACAAGCAATGCGAACCAAGACTATCCACAAAACATGACCTTGAAAACGATTCTTCTTCCAAACTACTTGGCCGTGTGCGTGTTTTCCTTTTCAGATCTTTTTTTCGACCATCTCGAGGGATTGCGACACGCACCAGATATTCTTTTTCACACACAGAAGGCTTCAAAGCGACCGAAGAATTTCTAGATCTGGCATGATTTGTCGTTTTTTCTCCAAACCGTTTGAAATGAAAGACCCAGAATGACATCGAACAACAATACCCTGCTCAATCAGACTTGTGGGTGCATTGGAGTTGCACATTTTGCTGGGAGAGTTTGTTGCTGTGGATTTCAAGCGAAGTCGTTTTACAATGAAATGGAACGAATCCGAATCAGAGGTTGTCTATTCTGATCCAGCGATCGACATGTCTCAGTCCAATGGTTGTCTATTCTGATCCAGCGACCTACTACCTACTACCTACTACGTACCACCTACTACCTACTACCTACTACCTACGACCTACGACCTACTACCTACTACCTACTACCTACCACCTACGACCTACGACCTATGACCTACGACCTACTACCTACTACCTGCTGCTGCTACTGCTGCTGCTGCTTGGTAGCTGATGCTGCTGTTGCTTGGTAGCTGCTGCTGCTGCTGCTGTTGCTTGGTAGCTGCTGCTGCTGCTTGGTAGCTGATGCTGCTGCTGCTTGGTAGCTGATGCTGCTGCTGCTTGGTAGCTGATGCTGCTGTTGCTTGGTAGCAGCTGCTGCTGCTGCTGCTTGGTAGCTGCTGCTGCTGCTGCTTGGTAGCTGTTCATGCTGCTGCTGCTGCTGCTTGGTAGCTGGTGCTGCTGCTTGCTAGCTACTCCTGCTGCTGCTTGGTAGCTTCTGCTTGCTGCCGCTGCCGCTGCTGGTTACAGTTATTGTTGTTGTGGTTGCTGCTGCTGCTGCTGCTGCGGCGGTTGCTGGGGTGGTTGTGTGTTGCCATGTGTTGGCTGTGTTGGGGTCGTATTCGGGGGGCGCTGTTGGCACTCTCCTTTTCTCTTGGCCATGGCATGTTGCGATTCCCGGCCAGGCTTTTGCTGCCTAAAGAGCCCCAGCGTTGTTTATTGGCCTAGCTTTCGCCACCCCCCTTTGGGCCACAAGTTGGAGGCCAGTGCTATTAGGCTGGAGGCCATGGCTATTCAGTTGGAGGCCATGGCTATTATGTTGGAGGCCATGGCTGCTAGCTTGGAGGCCTCGCTACTAGGTTGGAGGCCATCGCTAGTAGGTTGGAGGCCATTGCCATTAGGTTGGAGGCCATTGCTATGAGGTTAGAGGCCATCACTATTCGGTTTGAGGCCATTCCTATATATGTTATTGTTTAGCTTGTAGCGAAATGCTCACTAAGCACCCACGTTCTCGTACTTCTTCGTGCAGGTGCTCGCACTGTTTTAATGAAACATTGGCACCTCTGAAAGACCCGGACGAAAGTGGGCTAGAGGCACTCCTGGGGCCCTCGCAGGGATTGCCTGAGACAGAATCCGTTTGAAGAAAATCGAGGTGCAGAACCGTATGTGGCCAGCTGTTTGAAGAAACAATTTTAACTGTTGTATGTTTCTGATTTCTTTTGGACGCCTTAGAGCTAGCCAAAGACTCCAAGCTGTATAGAGTGTTTTATTTGTACATGAAACAGGTACAAAATTACAAACCAAAAATGCAACTGTTAAACTTGAAGCAGCCGCATGCAGCAAGCACGTATGTTGACAAACCTTTGGCATGGACATGATGGAAGAACCAGCAGTTATGAACATTTGGAGGTGCCCGTGGGTCATTGGATGAAGATATATGTTGAATAGACATAGAAACGTGTTTTCGATGGTATGTTTTCTCATGACACCAGTGTGCTGTGTGTTCCTGATGTTCCTCAGATGCACATGAATGCATTCTCAGTTCTGTCAGTGGTTTTGGACACATCGAGGATCAAGGCAATGGCGATCTATTCCTGCAAACCAATGTCTTGGGCCTTCAGAAATTCCCGTCTGAGATGAAAGGAAGTGTTGAAGGATATGAAGGGGTGCCATCTTGCAGCTGTCAAGTCTCTGCTGAGTCGGCAAACCATACCTTTTCGACAGACACTTGGCATTTTCTTGGCATTGTATAACCATGCTGTTTAACCGAATTATGCGTGCCCTAGTCAATGTTGATTGCACATCAGCTGGAATTGTGCAGCTTGATGGTTTTAGTATGTTTTGAACGAAGCAGTGTTGCAATGCGTTTTTGTGTGGTCAGGATTTCGTTGCCCTGCAAGCTCGCTTATGGCGATCAGGGTCCTATGTCAATCAGACCATCATCGCCAGGACGCACGCTGACCGGCGTCGCTGACAGCGCCGCTGACAGCTGACAGCGCCGCGTTGTTTGGACCAGTGCCATAAAAGTAGTATATAATGCCAACCTCATGCACCTAGTAGCAATGGCCTCCAACCTATTGGCCATCCTACTGACCTACTAGTGATTTTCCAGCCTAATAGTGATGGCCTCCAACCTATTAGCGCCATCAAACGCGACAAGAAACAAGCATCAAACATGACACCCAGACAATTCCGAGAACTGGTTTTGTGCACAGGATTGGCACTGAAATTCCTGATGTGGAATTGCTCGAAGATCCAGGGCTTGGCTTCCGGTGGTACAGCAGTCAGAACGATTTGCAGCTACCTGTGCTTCAAAACATCTCCACTGGAGAGCTCTTTGTGGTTTCTCCATCCGTCACCCCAATGATTCTGGACGTCAATTGCAAGGATACGAAGAACAGCTATGCATGGTCACGCATCACAGGTGATGTCACTCTGCGGGGTCAAAAGGCCTTCAACCTGGACCCGCAATCCGGCACGGTCTCGGGTGTTCCATCCCTCGAATTGTCAGACACCCAGGGCAGAGCAAGTGTCACAATCACTTGCCAGGTTGCGCTGGGTGGCCCCACCTATGACAAAGTCCTGCCAGTTGCAAACCTCACGGTCGAGGTTCAGGATGATGTTTGTTGGGTGCCAGGACCTATTTCCCTGCCAGCCCTTTGGCAAAAACTCGACGCCCAAACAGGCCCATTGTGCCTTTCAAGTTGCCGCATGCGTGATGATTGCGCTGCTGTACACTTCAATGACACGTGCTACGTCATGGTCTCGGACGGGCAATTCCTGAACTTGACGGGCAATGCGTTGGTGCGACTGAGCAATTGCTCCGAGGAAGTCTCAGCTTTGAATCTGTCAGTTCCAGGAGCAGCTTATGTCGATGGGCAGTTCACCGTGTCCAATTCATACAAAGATCAGGCCGGACGACATAGAATCACTTTGAAGCTTTTGATATAGTTGTCCGGTCAGGGAAGCATAGTGCCCATGCCTTTCCGAAGGTATCCTACTCTCGAGCTGGCTCAACTCCTGGTCGGCAATTGGACTTGGTGCAGGGCTCCTTTGTTGAGGCGGACAGCTATTGCCGCTGCCTCAGCACAAACGCCTTACTGCTTGACCTTGCATCAGCACAGTGATCCATTAGTTTGACCAGCGTGGGCTCGAACAACACAGTGCTCCACCTGGAGTTGGAGTTCTGCCAACAGGAACGGAGGAAGACCGAGTTATATATATATATCGACCTTTCATCCATGTACCGAATAAATGGCGGCCGCTAAGGGCGGTTGCCTGCGCGCGTTGCATCTAATTCCGAATTTAAAACTGCACTTGGCCCCTGAAGTAAACCCGTTTGGGTTCCTTCGGGCCCGCAGCATACTTAACAAGAAGCGCTGCGAAACAAAAGACCACCTGAACCGGGCGATGGGCCCCCCGCCAGTCATGCAACATGAGCAAAAGATGGCTGAGCAACACCGCTAGATGATGTACTCAGCACTTGCTAAATAAAGAGAGCAGCAGTCAAAGTCTGCCAGCTACTGCAGAAACAAGAGTCACATAGCCACTGTACACCCTAGTGCCTCTTGCCATCAGTCCGTCAACTCAACTCATCCGAAACCAAGTAGTAGCACATCTGTACTTGGCTAATTCATTAATTATCGCTTCTTCATGTCATTCAGCAGATGATCAGCTTGTCCCCATCCGGACACTAGCACCGATAGAGCTTCAAGCTACACTGCCCGTCGGACCCGCCACCTAGTCTTGCCTGTCCAACTGGAAGCCGAAACAAAAGCAAGCAAGGGCCAGTACTCCGTGTCAGCGACCTGGTCCTTCCCATCAAGAGCTCAACGAGCTTCTGACACCGGTACATGTTCTTGAGCCACTCGCTGTTATGTTCCTTCATCGCCTCCTGGAGGCGATAGTTCAAGGAAACTAGTCCACACAGTCTCGGCATATAGTCGTGCCACGCTGCGGTGAAGCGACATCGGCATAAGCCTCCCACTCTCTCACACCTTAGAGCCAGCCAAGTTGCTCCCCAACCGCACACTATGGCTGGCATTGGAGCAACACTATTGAGACCCTCCATGCCGGTTTGTAAACGCTCGCGTGCTGCCACGTGCTTCATCGGCAACATTACTTTCCTGACAAATGCAAATGGGTCTCGATCCTGGTTCATTCGTCATTGCAGTGTTCCATGGCCTTCTGGAGGCGATCCGTCAACGAAGCAAGGCACAGTCTCGGCACACGGTCGCACCATACTGTGGTAAAGCTGCTAATATGTGCAAGTCTGTTGCCATGGAATCCCACAAGCAAGAGAAGCACACTCTTCTCCTAATCCATGGGAGGCGAACCTCTTTTCAGGTTCTGGGGCTGACAAGTGGATCCTATCGAAATAGGCAATCTTGAGCCCTATGTACCAATAGAATAAAATTACAGTAACACAAAGAAAAACGCATCCGAATAGAAAAGACAATTTTGGACTATTTGCATTTCAAGGGCGGGAAACATGTTTGAATCTCGCACAGTTCCTTTTCGCAGCAGCGAATCAGCTCAAGGGCCCTGTTCAGCCGAAACAGCAGCGACGGTGCATCAACTGTACGCAATACACCCTGGCTACAACAGCTGAAATTCACACCCGTCTTATCTACAGGTGTGTTGCGGGCTTTACAGTTCAAGTTGTACAAAGGCAGCCAAGCAACTCTATTCCCCGTGGGGCCGTAAACCATGCCATTCCATGTCGAATTCTCAAAACAAGTCAGGTGAGACTTCTTCATCTTTCTTCTTGGCTCCCTTCTCGCATGCGCCACTGTTCTCGACATTCACAAGGCCACTTTCCAGTGTCTTGAGGAGGTAGTCCGGCTTCATGCTCTTGGTTAGCGGGTCTGCCAATTGCTTCGATGTCTCAATCCACCTCAGGTGGTCACCATAGGGACTGTAGATCTCTGATGTTTTCTCGCCACTCACAGTCCACACTCCTTGCCTCAATGCGGCAAGTTCTATGCCGAGCCTCTTGTCTTGTACCTTTCTTGGAACTTCTGCCAGTAAATGGTCCGATAAGCTCCTGCAATCCGTGTAGTACACGTGTGCCATTCGCCTCTGGGTTTCTTCATGCCAGTGCTTAAAGTCATCAAGTCGTCCGGTCAACTCACAAATCAGGCATCGTAGGCGATCTCCATGTTCGACTGCAGTTTGCAGAGCATATGCTTCTGCTTGCAATGTAGCACGACACACCCTTTTGAGGGTAGTTGAACCAAAGCTGATCAGATGCATTCTGTGACTGCCTTCCTTGAGGCTGCTCGCATTCGTTATGTAGTGAATGCGGCCTTGCTGACTCTTAAAGCCTTCTTCGTTTGCGAAACTTGCGTCGCTAAATGTCACAACTGCCAGATCGCTCCAGTCAATCCAATCACTCTTGAAGGTGATCTGCAAGTCACTTCCTTGAAGTGCCAATTCAACAACCTTGTTGGCGTTTTTCAAGTCTTGCATTGTTGCCTTTGCGCTACATGCACGCTGCATCTCATTCACACGGTAACAAAGGTCTGGTCTTCCATAACGGGCAACCCAAGCCAAACTACCAACAACGCTCCTGAGGCTTGTCAACTCCTTCTCTGTCACCTTTTCCGACAGCTTCCGATGCTTGTCGATTTCGATCGGCTTCACTGTTCTGCAGTTTTCACTTGTAGAAATGCTCACGGAGTAGTCCTCATGCTGTACGAACTGACGTCCGCAGTATCGGAACTTTCCCGATTCTGTTTTGCCAATCGTGAACCTTTTGAGGATACCTTCAATTGTCTTCTTGCCTTCGTCAAGGTAGCAATACAACAAGTCATCGACATGTGTCGCGACCATGCCTATCAACTTTCCCTTGGAATTGTGCAAATAGTACAATGCAGGTGTAATGCGACTGCACTTCAACCCGGCACTGGTGATCTCACCATTCATCCTCAAGTAAAAACCTCTGCCTGCGTCGATCGTGCCATAGATCGGAAGGCGTGCAACTAACATTGCATCCGGTGGAACATCCGGGCTTGGAATTCCACCACGTGGCTGTTTGAGCAACAGCAACCTCGTCATAGGTTGACTTTGAAAATACGCTGAGGAAACATCTGCCGCATATAGGGTCACACGATGGCTTGATGCGAAGCTTGCAATCAACATGTGTCCTTCAGTCTCAGCAGTGGGGCTATCGCAACGAATACCCTGTGAATCACGGCTCACTTGTTCGTGATTTCCACAAGCTACTAACCGAGATCTGTTTTCTGGCCGATGTTCAGGCGTACCTGTCAGATGAGCTTGCTTATCCACATCTACCCATTGCATAGGAATAGGAACATGCCCTTCTTGAAGTAACTCTTCCAATTCCTTGCCTCGAATAGGCATTGCAGCATTGAAGCTCCTATATTTGCTCCACTCTGCACGACGTGCATCCAAGATGCGGGCTTGCATCTCGGGAGTGCATCGGTCGTATTGCAGCGTCTTTGCCACCTTGCCAACCTGCGTCTCACTGTTTTCTCCAAAGCGTTGAGCCACAAAGGCTCGAAACTCTGCAGCATCGAGTTCAGTGTCGTCAGCAGCGGCCATGGCGATCAACGGGTGTTTTACCCGTGTAAAGATTGTGAAACCTGTCCATGCGCGAGAATCAACATCATCCATGCCCGGCATGGACTCGCTGGTCATTCGACTTCCGTCTTCATAGACTTTTCTGGTTACGCGTCTTCCTCCGAATCCTTCCGGAACATCTCCGTCATGCAGCGGGTGAAAGTCATGGAATCTCCTCTTGTTGTGAACTTGCATGATTCTCAGAGATTCTCCAATGATCTTCATTGTCAATCATTGCGAGCATGACCTCATCATCACCACCAATGCCTCCGGGGGTCATCGGAACTGCGACTGCGCTTCCACTCGCGCTTGCAGATGATCGGGCAGCCTTGCCCGTCTTATCTTCTGCTTGTGCTTCTCTCTTCTGTCCCTTCTTAGGGCTTGCTTCTTCGTCCATCATTCGGATGTACTTCTGCTGTCCCAATGTCACTGCCTCCGGGAAGACTGGGATATTGTTCAAAATAGAGTAGGCCAAAGATTCACTCTCATTGGCTGATCTAAGTTTTCCGGCAGCACACAAAATAGGAATACCTTCATGTAGCAACCAGATGCCATTGTGCGGGTCGATGCCAATCACACGCGAAGCAGTGGACCACACGGTTCCACCTTGCTGTGTGTCTCGACGATAGACCACAAGGTCTCCAACCACAAATGACTTCTTGTTCTGGACTGCGGCATTCCTGGTCAATGCTCTTGCAACACGGGAACTTGTATCCAGATGGATGAATGCCTTTTGTGCAGCCATACGGGATGCGTGACACAAATGATAGCTTGCTGCAGGGTCAAGCTTGTTCTCCAAGATGCCCAAGTTTCCTGCCTCATCCATATCTGTCACAGATCCTGGAATTCTTGGGTTCCTTCCCAGGACCCATTGTGCTGGAGAATAGCCTTGGACTCTTTGCATGTGATTCTTCACGGAAGTGCACTCGTGCAAACATGTTTCAAACGCATTGCGACCAACGGCTTCCATGTCATGGATGGTCTTCCTGAGAATTGCCTTCAAGATACCTTGGTGCCTTTCAACCTTGCCAATGGCTGAAGGGGTTTCCAATGGTGCATAGAAGATCTCAACACCGTGCGAAGCGAACAGCTTGGATACCTCACCTCGGTTGTGGACACCTCTATCCATGATTGCGGCCTTCGGAAAACTTGCCCAACTGATCCATCTGCGAAGGATAGCTTGTGCACAGGCTTCTGACGTTGGCATACCTCCACCTTCTTTGACAACCTCTGACAAATGGAATCCTGTCGAAATGTCTAGCATCGTGAGAATGCTGTACTTGTTCCCTGCATAGTCCTTCATTTCTGTGACATCAAGACCTAGCATGGCATTGAACTCATACTGGAAATTACTATTTCCTACCGGATGGTCACGGGGACGTGGTGCAGTGTCTTCGCAGGACTGACAGCGGACGAGACGTGCAGCTTCGATCAACTCCTTGCTTGCCTTACCTGCCTTTAAGATATTCTTCAAAGTTGACGGTGCGGGA